CTCACCCAGTGGGCTAGACGACCCCACTTCCCACTGGACTTAGCTCAGCCAATTTGGGGCCTTTCCTAACAAACCAGATTCGCTCCTGCCATGGGGCCTTTGCATCACCCATTCTCTGCACCCGGAATATCCTCCCCCCACTGATCTCCTGCCTGCCTTCTTCTTGGTCCCTGGGAATGCCTCCCAGAGCCAGTGGATTTGCCACCTGGGAGGAGAACCTGGCCTTCAAACCAGGCTGCCACGAGCCTCACTAAGCTTTCTCATCCTTCCACGCTGCCTGACTGGCTCTGGTAGGGCCTGGTCTTGCCAACTGCCCATGCTTTTGGCTCCAACTCTCCCTGACACCCTACCAAGGGCCCAGACTGTCCAGTCTGGCCTCTGGCTGATTTTTGGTCTCTCCAAAGTTCTGTGCCAATCAGATGAGAGGGGCAGGTTCCTGCTGGCAGGAGAGTAGTCAGAGCAAGGACTGGTGTCTGAAGATGTTCATCACGTTATTATTTATCAAAGAGAAAAATAAGGGAACAATCACAACTTCCATCTGTAAAGAATAGGATAAAAGCTGATTCCAGGATCAGCAGGTAGAGTGGAGGTTAAGGTCGCTGGATCCCACAGTTCTAGTCCCAGACCAAGAGGCTCGAAAATCACGCTGGGTACATGTACGTGAGTGCCCACCATAAATCCTGAGAGGAGACTAGAGAAGGGATTGTGGAATACCCATGCCTTCTGGGGGTTATTTATTTTTGACTTTCCCTCTTTCCTCTCTCTCTGTCTCTTTCTGGTAAACACAAGCATCCTGTCACAAAAACTGAAAAAAAAAAAAAAAGAAAGAAAAAGAAGTAAGATTCTAATTCCTTTCCCCCTACTCCTCTAGTGGTTTCCCACTGCTATTAGAGTAAGAGTGAAACACCCTCGGGGCCGGCAGGTGACATGGTGATTAAGGGTGCTGGACTCTCAAGTGGTCGAATATAGTTCGAGTCCCGGACCTAGTAGCTTGCTTTTCTCACTTTCTCTCTCTCTCGCTCTCGCTCTGTCCCTCTCTGGTCACATTTCAATCAATCAATCAAGTTAAATGAAATAATTCTTTAAAAAAAAAAAGCATAGTGAAACTCCAGGCCCAGCCACAGCGGCACAGGAAGCAGGCAGGACACCACATGGCTGACTACAGCTCGGATGAAAAACACGGGCTGTACGTGCCCAAGGTCCTGACCAGCTGGAAGGCTGGGGAAAGGGAATCGCAGCATGGTAAGTCCCTGTGGAGGGTGCCTATCTCACTCTCCCCCATAAAAAACACAAACTTAAAAGGAGGAGGGTGCACCCCATTGTGCAGTGGTTAAGTCCTGTGTATAGGGAGCCAGAACCCACATGACCAACCACGGTTTGAATCCCTTGCCCTGGCAGCCTGAAAAAATGTGCTGGCTGCAGGTGTGTACCCGACCCCGACAGGAGGGGCGAATGAAGCGGGAGAGTTAGAGCTTGGCCACGCCCCACTGGGGGGCATTCTTGTGCTCTCTCCTCTGGCATGCACATGCTCCCTCTGACATTAAAATAAAATGTTTTTTAAAAGATGCTCTCTTTACAAGAAAGGAAACAAAGACAAATTCTCACACCGCCCGTCTCCCCGCGCCCAGCGCATCTCAGGGCCTTGCTCCCCTCTGATCCAGCGACTCTCTCCTCTCCTCTCCCTCCCTTGGTCTCTCGATGCTCCCACTGCCACTGAGCCGTTGCACGTGCTAGTCCCTCTGCCTGGAATACCCTCCCTCTTCATCTAGCAAACTGGCCCCCTCCAGACCTCAGCTTAGGAGTGCCCGCCTCAGGAAGGCCTCTGCTGACCTCCTAAACCTGGTCAGGTCCCCATCACAGGATCTCCTGACACTCGGCCGCCCCCACCAGACTGGGAATGCACTGAGGGCTAGGAGCACGTCCTCGCTCGGAGTAAGAGTCCTAGGGGCTAGGACAGAGCCAACGAGGCAGGCTGAATGGACAGAGTACTCCCAGTCGGTGCGGGTAGTGGACGTGTGATGTGTCCAACGACATGAAGAATACATTCGATCCTACTTGATAAAAGGCAGAAAGCAGGCTTCCGAGCTGTAAAATCAGCTTGATTGCAAACACCAAGAGAGTAACTGGGGAATTGCTCTCTGGGAGGTGGGATTAAGGGCGCGTCTACCCTGCTGAA